TTGATTTTCTTTCTTATTCCTCTGGGAAGCCACAAAACCTAAAGTGAGACCAAGCGGAACAATGCGAGGAGCGACCGCTTCCACCTACTCGACTGGCTTCTGGTTGCTGGTTGCCTGTTGGTGAGCAGTTTCCTTAAAAGTACCGTTACTTTCTACCGGACACTGCATTCCGCGCGCGCCTGCTGCAGGTTCAGCTGTTCAGCCCCGCACGCGCTCCCACACACATGCACGCGCACCGGCGCACGGCACTATCCCGGTCATTTACTCACAGCTCGAAGCCTTTCTTTTTAATAAAATAAATACAGTAATTGTTTTGGAGGGTTTCTGGCTGCAGACTCAGCGTTACTTTTGTCAGATTATTATTTATGTATTTATGAAAAGATGGTTACAAAAGTGTAATTAGCGAGCTAATTATTGCTGATTTTATACCAATGACAACAGATGGATAGGTTATCATGTTTGGTTTTTATTCATTTGTCTGATTAACGTTTTTGTTTTGTTTTTAGAATGAAAAAAATGAGCATCATCATCATTATTATTGTTGTTGTTGTTGTTGTTGTTGTTAACCAAGGACGCACTGCTGAGATAAGAGCAGCTCGTTTGGACTGTTTGGTAGAACTGGAGTCTAAATGCAGACAGATTATAATTATCTGCTCGTTCTCCAGTTCAGCGCAGATTCAGGACTTATCAGTTCAGAGGGACAGCAGCTTGCCCTTTCCTTTTTTCTAAAATGACCTAGATGTTGCTGTCAGTATGCTATGCAGTGACAGTTGGTGCTGACATTGTTGTGCCAACACAAATCCAGTTGTTCAGTGTGTCACATGCGCTCAGGAACCAGGCATCTGTTTAACTTATCTTAAGTCAAATAACTGAATAACAGCTCCACGGTAGTGCTGATAAGCCTTCTTCTTTAAACTGAGGTGACAAAGTGTTTCTCTCACTGTAGATGGATGTAAATAGAAACCTGGCTGCAGACAGCCCGCTCTAATGCCCCCATGCACAGCTGCTGACTCACTGACCACACAGGCATCCGGCAGAAAGTGCACAAAGTTAAGTCCCCATTCAAGCACTCCAGGAATGTTGCAGACAGTTTTTGAGAGGCTGCGCACAAAAGGCTCTGCTGATCATGCTGCTCATTTGTCAAAGCTTTGGTCATATCTGCTTTCTGGACATGCCAAAAATGTAGGAAAGCTTCATGATTCTACACTGTGACTATGTGAGAGGTGTTGATATTTTGGACCCCCCCCTCCCAAACTGAAGAGCTAAAACTCGGGCTAGTGTTGCACTTCTAAGTGAAACATGAGAGTCACGGTGCCTCTGGAAAAGAAAGAAAGCTCGAGGAGTCCTTTGAGGAAACAACATTAAGACTAAGCTGTTGTGTTAACTCGTTCGGTGCACACAATTCAACAAAAGTGGACAGTGTAGATAATAAACACAGAGAGTTTGCCAAGGTCACTACACGTCTTCAAGCAGGCATCGAACTTTGGATTGTTGTATCTGCGTCTCGACTTTGACTGATGTTTGCATTTGAATGATCACATGAACTTCACATGTCCGTTGCACTTCCTGCCCAGATTAAAGCATTAGCTGGTCAGGGGTACTGTTCAGTGAGCTCTCGGGGCACTGGGGTCGTGGTCCTCCTCTGTTTCCGAGTCCGGTGGGGTATTAGGGACAACAAGGGGACTGCTTTAAATAGCACCACAGCTGTGGACACTAATCAGCACTGCAAGGACAGCTAACCTGAGTCAGACTGGGCCTTAGCATCAGCTGCTGCAGCACAACAACTCAGACTCCCCTATGGATATTTCATGGTGGTACAGCCCGCGCCCCCACGCTGAAACCCCTGTAAAGTGGCTCACCGGGTCAAAACTGCGCCATGTGCCGCTGAATGGACACACTTGTCCACACCTCTAGCAAAGGTACACATAACTTATGAGCAAATTTCAAACCACATAACCAAGCAGTCAATAGAAAAGGCCGGCGCTATGTGACACGCTCATGAGCTCAGCAAAAGGAAAAAACTCATCAAATCTTTTATGTCTCTTTTCATTTAAGTCAAACAGGCTGATTCACACAAGCAGGACTTGGACCAGTTAAAACACATTTCAGCGACCCTCTGATTCTTCCATCCACGCCTCATATAAAATATATTCCTGACACTTGGTCATGATGAAGCTCAGCCATGTCGGACTGTGAAGCAATCCTTCTTCCTCCTGAGCAGACAGGCCAGTCCAGTGGCATGCAATCATGATACAAAGTTGTGCTTTGGAAACAGTTAAAAGGCAAATGGAAAGTAACAAAGTGTGATCATGAGCAACAGCCTGCTCGGGCCCAGAGCAGTACTAATCTGCAGGTTGAGCTGGATGATTGCATTTTTAGAAGAAATTGCTGTGTTCTGGCCAGACTTGGCAATGCACTGTAGGACATGAACTCTGTGATGCCTCTGCCTTTTCTCCAGCCTACATAGTTAAATGAGATCAAATTAGGTGGTCCGGAAAGAACAGAGCAACCCTTCATCAGCTGAGACATGAACAGATGTTTGTGCTGTTTTCAGAAGAACAAGCAGACTGTTGTTCAGCTCGTGCCCCCGTGTGTCTAAATCAAAATAATCAGAATGAATGCTTGTTAGCATCCGTGTTTGTTTTGTTGTTGTTTTTTTAACAGTTTCTCTCTTGAACTACATTATAACTAATTTGGGTTAATGTTACATACAAACATGAGATCAATGTGGTTTTATTCTGTGTTAAAGTAGGGACTTAGAACATTTCCGTAATAATGATTCAAAACAGCCCAAAGTTAAAATATTCCAGTTATCTGATAACAGGCACTGGCTTCCACTCTGCACCACTGGCTTGGTGACACCAGTCCTCTGAGGGACAGTTATTATGGTACTACCCATGACTGGACACAATATTAACAAGGACAGATTTATATGTAATCGTGCATCAGTCAGCAGCTGGTCTCATGGCTTGTGTACATTTATTACCTGAAATCATGAGGAAAGCTGGTTTATCCTCCTGTGCTGTTAAACAAATTAAACCTTGTGTACATTTTTCTTTTCCGGACCTTCATCGAGGCGCCTTCCTGTCAGCGTGGATGCAGAATATGAGCGTCTCTCACTGCCCCCTAGTGGAAACAAAGGGAAAATACCTGTGACAGTCCTGACCGTAAAATGAAAGGCAAGAAATATATCATGTGAGCTGGTGACTAATTATAAATATTCATTATTCTGCACTTGATGTCTTCATGCTTCAGTTTAAAGGTTGTTCAACGACCTGAGCAAACTAAGAAACTCATTATGATGTGTTGACCTGAAGCCCCTTCATTAAAAGCCTGTGTGTATGTGTTTGCATTGATGTCGTCGGTTTGTGTCACTGTGGCTGAACCAGTTATTAAGTAACAAAACACGTTACTTCACTTTAGAATCAGAGCCTTTCAGTCTCACTGAAATGTGAAATTAAGTGATTTTATGGAGAGAACATGAAGATTTTCTTTGACTGTTGCTGAATTTTGGGTTTTTTTGTTACTTTATTTGAGCTTTGAATACTAACACCCTTGTTTCTTTTATTTCCATAATGTTGTGAAACATGTGTCTACAGGTGTGTTTATGCTTTATTGGTAGTGCTGTAAGAAAGTCAAACATTAATCATAAACAGTGGATTTCAGACTGTGGGCTGGGCGCTGCTGGGCACAGAGCCAGTGGACGTGGGTGTGGACTAGTGGAAATATCGATTGAAAATAAGTTAAATGAATGTGATGTTTGTTGTCATAAAATGATGACAAATATATGTTTGTGTGTGTGCGTGTGTGTGATTTTTGTAGAAAAAAGTACAATTTTCTTATACCCCACCTACCTTTATTTCACTAAAATGTGACATCTGACATGTTTTCAGCTTCCAGAGTTAAAGTATCTTCTTCTTTTGGGTTCCAACACATCAACCCTCTGCCTGCTCTGCTTCAGTACATCCATGAATCTTCTCTGTGGTCTTTCTCTTTTCCTGCTGCCTGGCAGCTCCATATTCAAGATCCTTTCTCCAACATATCCATTGTCCCTCCTCTGCACATGTCCAGACCATCTCAGCTTTTCCTTTCTCATTTTGTCTCCAAGCTGGTCATCCTGAGCTTCCACTCTGATGTCCTCATTTCTAATCTTGTCCGTTCTGGTCCCTCAGGCCGAAAATCTTTAACTCTGCCACCTCCAGCTCCTTCTTCTGTCTTGTTGTCAGTGCTGCCATCTCTGAACTATACATCATAGAAGGTCTCACTAAACCTTCTGGGCATGAGCTGATGGCTGGATATTCTAATAGAGAGCAGAAGTCACGATTCCATCAATTACAGTGTGCAGTCGTCCAGGTCCTGAAGCAGCAAAGCAGCTCAGACCATCATACTAACGGACTAGCTACGATGGTCTGTTTATGAAAAACCTTCCAAAAAGCTCAGTTTTTGTCTCATCAGTCCGCAGATTATCTTTCCAAGAGTCTTGGGGATCATCAAGATGTTTTTTTTGGAAAATGTGAGACGAGCCTTTGTCTTCTTTTTGGTTAATAGTGGCTCTTTCCGTTTTTGCCCACTCTGTCTTCCTTATTGTTGAATCATCAACACTAACAATAACTTAAGAGGTGAGGCCTGCAGTTCTTAGACATTGTTTTAGCCCTGTGTGGAAAGCTTTTTGACACAGGGCCAGGTAGGTTTGGATGGCTTTTTTCCCCGTAATAATTTAAACCATCTGTCTATTGTTATTTGCCTGAGTGTGACAAATATGCAAAAAATAAAAAGATAGAATCTATTTATATATCTGTATGGAAATGTGTGTGTGTGTGTGTGTGTGTGTGTGTGTGTGTGTGTGTGTG